ATATATATATATATATATATATATATATATATATATATAATTACAACTACATATGAGTTTTATTTGCCATTATTTTTTTGCCATTTTTTTTTAAAGGCCGCGGTTTTAAGGTCAAATGTGTACTTGCCCCAATGTAAAGAAAACCTAAAAACTAAACAATTTCTATTGAATGTGCTTGCATTTTACTGACATGACATCTCAAACAAGCCAGTAAGGTAATGAGAAGTAGTTAACATCACATGCAGAATACAGTCTACATCTCTAAACATGAAGCACTTCTGAAACAAAGAGGAGAAACAACTAAATATTAATGACGATGGAACCGCCTCTCTGAATGGTTCACTGAAAGCTGCTCCGGTTTGTGAGAGAGGACAGCAACAGGAACAGCCCTTCAGCTGGAGGTTTGATGGCTGGTGCTGCTGCTGCTGTGACAGAGGGAAGTTTGTTTTTCCGTATGTGACTTCATAGAGCACCGCAGAATCAAAGAGTATCTCAGCTTTGTGTACATGTGAGGGGGAAAAAAAGCACATGGAAAGAAGTGCAAAGAGTCACAGGAGGCTGGCTGCACTTTGCTTTTCAAGCAGAACACCTTGTTATTTATTTAATGCACATGTTTATTCTGAGTCAACAGTATTCTTTAATGTATCAAGAGGCTATTTAGTTCATTGCAAGGCTTTAATTAAATGAGCGGCTTGTGTGAATGCACGTGTGTGTGTGTAGTTTGAGGACGGATCAGTGTTTTCAAAAAAGGAAGGGAAACAACTTTCTATTTCCAACTAAAGACAATCTAGAAAAAAGATTCTATGCACTGACACTAATTTTACCTAATGCTTTACCTTTGTGTGCTGAAGTGCAGTGATTCTACACAAAGATGATCTAAAACGTCTTTAAAAAGCCTGTCTATGTCTTTAAGAGCAGTTTGTGATACTAAGGCAGAAAGCACTTCACCACAACTTACACCACAAAATTGGGATCATGCAAACATTCTTTAATCTGATTGAATTAAATGCGTAAATTATATCTTAGCTCTCACTTTTCCCCTGTTCAACTACTCAGCTTTCAGTCTATTTTTATCTGTTCTTAAGTGCGAGCAGAAATGCTGCACTTGGAAGCACGACTAGTTCCAGCAAAGGAGAAACGACAGTCCTGTTTCTCTATTTCTGGATTTTCAAAAGACAAGGCCTGGTATTCTAATAATATAACTCAAAGCACAGTGTTATAATCTTAGTCCAGAAATAGTTTTCTAAAGAAAATTAGACACATTGTGTGCATGTGTGTTTTTGGCTTAATCACTTTTATTTGTGCATTTACAGGATCTGCATGACACGATGTTGGTTAGTATACTATATTTTGTCAATCAACTGGGCAATATTTGATAAGATAACATAGAGAATAAATAAAAAGATAAACGTTTTGGTCTCCAGAACATTTATATTCCTATTTGGGAAATGCAGTAGATTGAAACGGTGTCTCCTTTCTTATTTTTTTAATCAAGAAGAAGGTGTAGAAATGCACATTTTAACAGGTTTACCTAATGAAGACACAATGTGATCACCATATTGACTGTTTTCAGCAATTATTCATGTTTGAATATCTAGTGTTAAAACACACATCTTTTCCCTGATTTTAAAAGGTTTCCTAAAATTAAAATGCAGTTTTAATCATACTTCAATAAAAATGTTTGAGGATACAAACAAAAAGTGTCAAACACCTATCTGCTTCCACATGCTCTTTTCACCACACACATTAAAGCACACACTTCTATGCGTTCAGTCTATGGCTTCTGCAGCGAACAGAAGAGCACACACTCAAAGGCACACACACGCACACACACACACACAGAGCGAGAGAGAGAAAGAAAGAGAGAGAAAAGGAAGAGAGAGAGAACAATGGCTCAAGCTTACAGCAGAAAACAAACAGACAAGAAGATGTCTAAAAGCTCTCAAGATGAGAGCTGCATGCAAATTGTTCTTTTGACAGTATCCTTCCCTGCTCACTCACCACTCCACCACAACAGTGATACGGAGACAGACTGAGAAAGACGAGGGGAAGAACGAAGAGGGCGGAGAGAATATCATCTACTGCAGCCATAACAGAGTTGATTGGAGAGGGCCTTATTAAATCTGTTTACATTCCCTGCTGGGCTCCATTCTGTCAGAGAGACTTTCAACTCCACAGGATGCATTCTGAGGACTTTCGCTTTTTTTCCCCACTAAAATGGTTGCCTCTAATTAACAGGAACCTGCCGAGTTTCAGTAGCCATTTCTGTTTCTCTCCTCATCGCTGCCCACCAGCATTCGTGCTGCTCAGTGATCCTGCTCATGTTGGTGGAGAACACTCTGGCTGTCCCTGCTCGCTCACTGCGCAACTTGGCGCTAAGGACACAATTCACTGCATGTCCTGCTCACTGGGCACAACATACAACCCTCATTGGTACTTAGTCTCGAGTTATAATTTAACTCGAGACTAAGTGTGCAAGGTCCCTGTGTGATGGGACAGGCCATGGATTTTTGGGAAAACTATATTATTTTGGGGAACTTGCAACACAAATAGGAGAGTATTCCTTACAGTTGTAAGTAGGGGTGCACCGATCAATTGACTGGCCAATAAATCGACCCGCTGATATATCGACCCCGATTTCCTTAATTTTGGGAAATCGGAGATCGGCCAATACTTACACGAGAAACCAATTTTACCAATTTTTTGTAGTTTTAACAACAATTGTCTAAGACTCTACTTCCTCAGGCGGCTGAGGCGAGCTGGACGGGAAGCTCAGTCCTCACCTCCTTCTACAGGTGTGCAGTGGAGAACATCCTGTGCTCCAGCATCAACGTGTGGCATGGAGGCTGCACAGCTGCAGAAAGAAACGCTTAGCAAAGATTGGTGAAGGCTGCACAGAAGTCTGTTGGATTCAGTCTCCCCACCATCACAGACATTTACACCTCTAGATGCAGGAAGAGGGCCACTTGCATCATGATTGACCCCACTCACCCAGCACACACACTTTTTGCTCCGCTCCCCTCAGGAAGGAGGTTAAGGAGCATTAAGTGTAGAACCATGTAGTGAACCAGACGACCTCAAATATACCAGATGGACAGAGACTGTTATTTTCATTGATCTGAATAAGTCTGAACCATCTGATGAACTTTCTTTCTTGAATTAATCAAGCAGAAAAGACAATTCTTTATAATCATTACTGTCTTACAAATGTTTTGATAATCAAATTGTGTTAGTTCACTCAATGCTTTACAGGTTGAAAAGAACTACTAATTTTTATTTTACATAAACAGTAAGTAATGATTTTTGTTCCTCATTCAGAGAAGAAATCACCTGAATATGCCTTTCTTGATTTTCTGTCTGAAATGAGCAAGCTGTCGTAAGTATGTTAAAGGTTGGTTTTCGGTCAACTAAAATGTTTACCGAGAAAAATGTCATGTTTTACTATTTGAAAAGATTACAAAGTGTGAGACTCCACGAAGTCTGCTGTTGCTGCAATAATCTTTTCTGTATGTTGTAAACAATCCTTGACTTATGATAACATCTTACGTCACAAATCCACTCCTCTTTCTGGTCCTTCCACGAATCAGAAAGCTCTAAATTGAACAGGAAGTCGACCCAAATAAAATGTGGCAACTTCTCAGTTCAGGAGATAGAGAAGAGAAGGAATAGAGAATTATGGATTCCAGAATTCCAAGAGATTGAGAGTTCTGAGAGATGTTGGATTGGGAGCTGACAATAGGTCCGATAGTCTAACAGAATGAGAAGATTGAGAATGCAGTCGGTTCTGAAAGCTTCAGAGCAATGAAGAATCCAGAGGTTTTTTGGGGATTATAATTCTGTTTTGAGCTAATCAACGCACGACTTTCTGAAGGTTTGGTAGCTCTCGACGGAGACGCTGAAACGAGTCAGAAAGGAACTACATCCAACGCTGATTCATCGTCAACAGGTAGATGGTTCTATTTTGACCAAGTGTACCGTGAGAAGCTGAGATCGGACGGAGCGTGCAACTTCTGGTTAAACAGATTAAATCTCCCTCACATATTCCTCTGTAAGATAAATCTCAATTTACTCTTAAACTCACCTCTCTCTCATAAAACAGTACAGATATTTTTAGAAATGTCTGAAGCAAAGTCCTCAAATCACCGCCGAGTGATTTGAAGTTCATTTTCTGTGAAACTGTCTGTTATTATTTTCATATTTTGCCAAATTAATGTAAATGTTTGATGTTAAACTTTGATTTTGAAAATAAATGATTCCATTCATTTGATGGGTCAAAGATAAATAACGTCTCTCGTTCACATTTCTGTTAAATTCAATGCACGGCATTTACAGTCAGAAAAATGAAGAACTCGTGAATATTGTATGCATATATAATTCATATATTGTGTCATACAACAAGTGACACGTACCTCATGTACATCACAACAACCACTAGACTGAGGAACAGCTTCTACCCTGAAGCTGTTAGACTCATGAATCTCTAACCAGAATAATCACTGTGAAGAATCACATCATGTTGCTGCTGATCTGTTTCATGTTGCTGCTGATCTGTTTCAATGTTGCTGCTGATCTGTTTCATGTTGATGTGTTCATTCATGCTCATCTGCTCACACAGACTCATGTTCATGCTGCTGTTCGGCGTATTGTTTTTATGCTACTAGTGCTTAGCGTATTTTTAGTTAACATTTTTCTTAGTTCATATCTTAGATCTTATTACTGTTTTTTTTTTACATTTCATTGTTGGATGTAACTGGGACCCTGTGTGCACAATTTTGTTCCACTACATGTACCACACGTGGTGCAAATGACAATAAAGAAACTCTGATTCTGACTAAACTTCATATATATTTCAGAGCACTACCTCCTGGCCAGTTAAAACAATATTGTATTGTTTCTAGGATATTGTTCAAGGGTTTGTTTTGCAATGAAATAAAATTGGAAAGTTGAAGGTGCACTGTGACCTTACAACACAAAATCGGTACTGGCCAAAATTGGAATCGGCAGGTCAGGCTTTTTAGAGATGGGTAATCAGCCAGAAAACTACAATCGGAGCACTCCTAGTTGTAAGCTAAAAATACCAATTAGTGATGAACTTTCTCAAGCATAGCATCTTTAAAATAATCAAACAGACTTTACTTCAACTAAAAGGCTGCATTTATTTAGTTAAAGCATAAAAAGTGCACTGAAGAATACTATAGCTGAAAAGGATTTAGAGGGTATTAGAAGATAAAGAGAAATGAAAATGAGCAGCTGAATTGATCTGTAGACAAATATATATATATAAATTTATAAAAATTAACAAATATATACTTCTTAATAAGAATGCCACAGTATCTGCCTATTACTACCTCAAACATGAACACACAGCATTTCTCTCATGTCTGCACATCTTCCTGTAGCTTCCACCCCAGTTGTGCCTGCTGCACCCTGTCCATAGCCCCATCCATCAATCTGTGCTCCAGTTCCTCCTGTCTCAGTCAGCAGCATCACCAACCAGAGCGTATTTATGTACACAGTACAATATCAGATCATATCACTTCATGGCTGTGTAAAATGGCTGGGCCATCCATTTGGCAGCAGTTGTCTCCTTACCATCTTTGGTTGTGTCAGCAATCCCTTCTCTGCCCAGCCCTGGAGCTGTGGGAGCTCTGCCTGACGCCACTGTGTCTCTGTCGACCCCTATGGAGCGGAGCACAGGGAGGGAGGGACGCACAGCCCACCATCAACATCATACACTCACTTTGCAAGGTTAAGGTTATGGGATTGGGGGGTGGGAAGGATGCTGGAAATATATAGTAACTTGCTAAAACTAACACAAGGTATACCTTGACAGTCACCACCAGAGAAACTAAAACAAAGACCAGCAATTCAGAATTATTTTTATGGTTAAAATCAGTGGTTTCTCACTGAAAACTACAATTTGTTTCTAAGATATATGAAGAAGTGAATTTTAGGAATAAGAATAGATCACCTCATGAGCTGTTTTCAAGTGCCTTCTTTGTTGAAAGAATAAAACCTGCATGTATGCTGAAGCTGGCATATTGGTGTAGTGACTGCACTGACCTTGGCAGGGCTTATAATGAGGGTTTCCCTCTTACTCTCTGAGGGTAAACAAGAGTCTGGTTGAAAAGACAGAAATGCCACAAATGAGCAGGAAGTCTGTCCTCCGACTCTGCAGAGCAGGGGGCTTTAAATGCCTTTCAGCTATCTATGGATGCTACAACAGCCAATTTAGCAGGAGGGGAGGAAGAAAAGGAGAGATGACCTCTGCCTTTATTTAGTCCTTCAGAGAGATGAGGAGCGGGAGTGAGGGATCAGTTGGGAGGAGGAATAAAAGACAGGGGTTGAGTTATGGGAAAGACACTTCCAGTTGTTCAAAGGAAAGGTGAGGCAGAGGTGGGGGAGAAGAGACAGAGTCTATACATGCTCTGTTGTCAATGTGTCTTGTAAACTAAAACAAGAATGCATAATAGAAGTCTAAATGAGAGTGAACTGTCAGTTTGATAGGAAGGAAGAAGATGGGGGGGCGTAAAGGTCAAGGCAGAAAGGACATCCCTCTGCTGGCACATTTAAATAAATATTGAGAAATATTTGGGATGATCATATTAAATTATCAGTTGAGCTATTTTGCGTTTTAGGGTGGTGAAGGTCAAAAGTTTACTTTTGAATAGTGACTGGAAAAAAACTGACACGTGATTGAGCCAAATGGGCTACCATATTTACAATTTGTTTAATTTTCAATATTTTTTTCAAGATTTCATCAGATCCAAAGCCAGCAGCAAGTGTAGACAATACTAAGGATGGATACATCCTCTACACTCATGAGGCTAATAGAAAACAATACTAAAGATCCAGTGGTGTAGTCTACACTTTTGTACTGGGTATACTGTGCTTAGAAACCGAAGTACAGTTAGTACAATGTAATATTCAATTTATTTTGATTTTTAAGCATATTGAACATTTCAAAATTTCTCTGATGCTTATATTTGAATAAATGTACAACAAATTTTGTACAACAGTTGGTTTTGTATTAAAAACATGTTAATATAATTTATAAAACAGTGTCAAAGCAAAACATGGTCACGTATTAAATAGTAAGTACAGAAGTATTAATTATACAAAAAATAGGTTGAACCAATTCAATGTGTCTATAAAATGTTTCAAATGTGTTGACAATGACACATGCCTATATGTCACATATCGTTGGGCACTTTTAAATGAGTATCCTGTAATTCCCAAGCTTTTCTAATGGGTATACTCTGTACACCCACGTATCACATAGACTACACCACTGAATAGGTCTTGTTTAGCTGAAAATTATTTAAAGGGTACAAAATGAGTTTATATAGTTTACATATTAAAAATATTGTCCCATTCAATAAGTTTTAAGCTGAAAAAGCTACCCTGAAAAAAAAAAGTTAGGCAGAGGCGAAACAACATAAATCCATTTTCATATCATCGATAAACTTTACATATGAAGTCAGTGCAGAAGTGAGGACGTACTGCAGCAAGCAGACGGTGCAGCGTTTTGGTAGCATGTAAAAATGTGGTGATAAAAATGCAAGAAGCAGCAAGCAGATGCATATGAGTCTCAGTTTCAACAGCCAATGTGGTGCAGGGAAGCGAAATGTCGGCAAAATAAATGTTACATTTCTAGTCTCTGCAGCTCACTTTCCAAGCGCTTCTCAAACTGTTCGGTGCTCAACCATTCGATCCAAACAAACCTGTATCAGGTGACACACAAACTCCAGATACACACACACACACACACAGAGTTTAATCTTTCTTCATATCCTCGCTGTCCTTGCATTTATCACATGAAAACACACGTGCTGCTCCTGATAAAATCTGCAGTGCAATTACATTCACCGACCACTGAGATGAAAAACTGCTCATGGATACGTTTTCAATTATTCAGGGAATACATTTCAGTCAGCTCTCAGATGGTGGAAAAAGTTATTATATAATCAATACACTCTATAACACCATTAATTTTTGATGCCACAAAAGTGCTTCCTGTCTCCTCAGGCTTCCGGCCAGCGGTATCTGGGCACTGCAGTCGAAATAGGACGAGCTTTATCTGCCTACAGCAAGAAAGGGGAGTATACGTTTGCTTTTCCTTTAATGCTGGAAAGCACAGAAGAGACAGACTGCATCAAAGGTTATTGAAGTTTTCTTTTCACAAAGCCCCACTGTCTGCCATCTGCTGCAGATTCTGACAGAAAATTTACATGATCAAGGAGGCCTGCCTTCCTTTTAGCATTGCCAGTGTTGTTGCTCCTCTTCTGCTTTTAGCTGATAAATCTACCATTTTATTATTGCTGGCCTGGTGCAAGCTTCCCCTTCCACTTCTCCTCCAGAGCTTAGATAATCAATTTACCCTGAGTTGGCGAGGATGGATGGAGGACTGCAGAGTAGACAGTACGATGCAAGATCACTGATGGACAAACTGCCTGGCAGCTACAAAATGGAGCCAGCATGCAAGTATCTGACATGTTAAACTACGCCACCATCTTGTCTTGAGCATTATTTGCTCTTTGTCAGCTTAGAGTTGTTGTTTTTTTTTAAACAGACATTCTTTCAGTTGTTAAAGTTGATGGATTAGATAAGACAATTCCAACGAAAACGCCACCTGATCCTCAATTTTCAGCTGCTGTGATAGTGAAAATCACATGTCGTCCTTCATGCTACATGCAGAATCAAAGTCTTCCTGAATGAGAGTGAAGCTGTAGTTTATCAAACCGACTGAGACAAAGAGATTAATACAACTTTACTATCTCAGCTTCTCGGCCAGTCAAGTTCCGTGCAACGCTCTCTGCGCTATTGATTTTTATATTTTTTCTCCTCTCCCTTTCTTCCTGGTAGTCTCCCTCTCACTATCTCTCCACCTCCACCAGCCTCTTCCGCACTCCGAACTGTCCTGCAGGTCAGACGGATGCTGGGCCGGATCAATCAGGAAAAGTAATCTGGGACGCCTCATGCACGCAAGTAAACACACAGACACATCACAGGTACTGACACACACACACTTCCTCTGATGCACTCTGGCCTGCCTGCCTCCAGTCTCATCGATCTGCATCTACTTTACCAAATGGATTCTTCTATTCTATCCACCTCTTTTTTTTTCCATGTGACTCAGAATAATAAATGTTCCAGACGGTGCGAGACGTGCACGTAAGCAATTTTTCATTTAACTTTGGCTTGACTTTTTTTTTTCCTTCGGTCCTCCCCCTCCTTTCTGCTTTCTCTTTTGTGATGTTTCAGTCTTTCAGTGAGATCGATGCAGCTTTCCCAGATTCCCTGGCAGCCCCGAGAGGATCAGCACACGCTCGCCTAAGGTCAAAGGTCGGGAGATGACAGAATAGGGCCAATTTCAGACGGGCCTGCCTAACAACATTCACACAATAGAAAAAATTTACTTCTCACAGAACATTTTCTGCTAATAGCCCAATGTTCATTTTTAATGGCACATGTTAAGTTACACACACATATGATTCAGATCTACTTGGTCCATTTTTTTTAATCCTGACCTTTTATTAAAAAAGTTTTATTCTGCTTCATGGACTGTCAAAGTACATGAAAACAATCTAAGATACAAAGATCTGCAGTGCTATATACATAAAGCAAATAGTCCCATTTTCCCTCAGACACACACACAAACACATCCCCCCCCCCCACCCCCCGCACACACACACACACACCAGTCTCCTTTGCTGAGCCAAACTGTGGGCGGAACTGGAGCCATTTGTCCACTGGCTGAATCCCAACTCTGCACCAACGCATGCAGAAAATTGGTGAGCATCTTGACTCTAGAGATGACACTTCAATTTGTGCAGCTCCAGTGACTGATGCTCTGCAGTTCCTCCCTCATGGGGGTGTGAGATCAGCTGGACACCTGCCTAGCAGTTTGGGCAAAGCCTGGAGCATGAGGGACTGAGCCTTGGAAGTAAAGGCCTGGCCTGTCAGCCCAAGTCCCTGTCCTTTAGCCCTAGCCCTGGCCAGGCCTCTTCGGTCCTCATCACCCTTCTTCTACTGTCACTCCTGTGCCAGTAACAGTCCCTCACTTATTGCCTCTTACCCCTATTTCTCAAACTGCCAGCTGCAAGTCAATGCCGTGCCATTGTTTTCCCTCAAACAAAATCAAATCCCCATCAACAGCTTGTCAGACTTTGTTTGACTTCTCACCACTGCCACCTGCACTTCAATTTACAGCTCAAGTTAAATCGGTAAGATGTACTCTCTGTGCGTTGAGGTCTGTAAGCATGATGAAAGGAATAATCCATCTTGCCACTTAGTTAAGTAACGTTGGTAGATTAAAGAGACTAAACCACTGTCCTTTCCTTTATACCTTCTTCCCTAAATAAATGTACTTTGTAAATTAAGTTAAAAGTTTTAGCATAGAAAGCATCTAACCTATGGGCTTGTTCAATAAGAAATAACCATTTTCATTGTAGCGTTCATGCTTTGCCTTGATTTTCATTTTTTGGCTTAGACCAGGACAGTGGTTAGAAGATAAAGTCAGCAATGCTGGGAGTGCAACTGACACAGTAGCGCCATGTGCAGTGAGCGGGGACACCACCTCCACGAGTGGCTGGAAGGTGAATGAGGTTGTGCACCTGTGCAGGAAACCAGCCCGTATAGTGGAAATGCATGCTATCTTTCGCAAAATACACACTGTC